CCTCCTCCCGTCATTGAGGTCGTTTTCGGACAGGGTGCCCTAATATTCTTCGTGTTGGCTGGCTGTTCTTGTGCCCCCCCTGGGCGAGGGTACCCTGGAATGTTTTTCATCAGTTTGGTTGGTGGAGGGTCTCATGTTCTTGAAAGATGCTCTTTTGCCTCGATGAACCCAAAACGGCGTAAACATAAACTTTTGACGCTTCGCGCGTATTTCTTGGATCCGCGCTGGGGCCCCCTGGCGGCGCCTCCGGCGCCGCCTTTGGTGCGCTCCCCGCGCCAGGCAGGAGGGTCCGGCGCGGATCCAAGAAATCCGCGCAGAGCGCCACAAGTTTTTGGTTTATAGTGTTTTTTGGTTCTATTGTCCTAGGTTTGGCCATATGTCCCCCCGAAAGAAAGAACAACGTTGGAGGCATAATGCTCTTGAGTTTGGCCGGCGGAGGGTCTCGTGTTTTGGAAGGATGTGTATTTCACCACATCCAAAGTGGGGTTCTTATTTTCTCTGCACGCCCTCTGCGCAGGGTCTCTCCTCCTCCCCAACTGTCTCTCTCTCTCTTTCTCTCTCGCTTCTCCCTCGCACACTCACTCAATCACCCACGCGCCATGGTCACTCACACTCACCCACTCACTCACTGTCACTCACCCATCCACTCTCGCAAGCTATCATCACCATCATCGTCATCACTCGCACACTCACTCATCCACTCACCCATCATCATCATCATCATCATCATCATCATCATCATCATCATCATCATCATCATCATCATCATTCACTCGACCACTCGGTCACCCACCTACCAACCCACTCACTCATGCATCATCACCATCATTATCCTCAGTCACTCACCCATTCATTCACTCACCCGCTCACTCACACCCACACTTGGGGAAGTATCAGGTGGGAGCCTCGTCTGTGAGTGAATTGCGAGGAAGTCTCAGGCGGGAGCCCCCTCCCTATGGGGCCCGCATTTCATGGTGGTAATCCGAGCGGGCCATCGGAAACCTGTGACCGTCGCCACGTTTGGGCTCCTGAGGTTTGAAAATGGAGGAGGTATCAGGCGGCTGGAGCCTCGTCTGTGTTCGGAGCCTTGTAACTGTTGTCATTGTTGGGCTCCCCAGGCTTGAATATGGTCGCAGGCCCAGAGGTTGACACCGACACCAAGATCGGCGGTGTGCCTCCCCCGAGGGATGAAGATCCCAAACTTGGTGATGGTGGTAATATTCTGGCTTCCAAGGTGACCGAAGTATCACCACCAACACCGAAATCCAGGATCATATTCCCCCTGTGGAGGCACCCCCCTGTTTTGGTGTTGGTGCCCATTTCCAGGCCTCCAATATGGAAGAATTATCAGGCGGGAGCCTCGTCTGTGAGTGACTTGCGAAGAAGTCGCAGGCGGGAGCTCCCTCCCTATGGGGCCCGCACTTCATGCTGGCAATCCGAGCGGGTCACTTGGGATCTTCAGGCTTGAAAATGGAGGAAGTATCAGACGGGAACCGCGTCTGTGAGTGAATCGCGAGGAAGTCTCAGGCGGGAGTCCCCTCCCTACGGGGCCCGCAGCTCATGTGAGAAATCCGAGTCGGATCCTTGAAACCCTGTACGTAATCGTCTTCGTTTTCGGGCCGCTGATGTCTGAAGATTGGGGAAGTATGAGGCGGGAGCCTTGTGTGTAAGTGGAATGCGAGTAGCCTCGTCATTGGCCCGCATGCTCGATCAGGCGGGAGCCTCGTCTGTGAGTGAATTGCGAGGAAGTCTCAGGCGGGAGCCCCCTTCCTATGGGGCCCGCAGCTCACGCTCTTAATCCGAGCGGGTCGTCCTCAAACCCGCAAGTGTCGTCATTGTTTGGTTTCGTGAGGCGTAATTTGGAGGGTGCATCAGGCGGGAGCCTCGTCTGTGAGTGAATTGAGAGGAAGTCTCAGGCGGGAGCCCCCTCCCTATGGGGCCCGCATTTCATGTCTGAATCCGAGGCGGGTCATCGGACTCCTGTAACTGTCGCCAGTTTTGGGCTCCTGAGGCTTGAGTATGGCGGAAGTCTGAGCTGGGAGCCTCGTCTGTGAGTGAGTTTGCCCCCTGGGACGCACGGAGGAAGGAGACGAAACGAGGAAGCGCCAGGGCGAGAAGGACAATGGCTCGGAGGAGACAGTAAGGGTGCCCCGTTAATCGCGAGGACGACGGTGAGGGTCATTTGCAGACTAGCCGAGAGGATTATCATGCGGGGTCCGACCGTCGGAGTAAGTTGTCTTAGGTTTCGCCGCGTGTCCCCCCCAAAGAAGGAACAACGTCGTAGGCACAATCGCAAGCATGATCGCACGCATAATCTCGAAGGTCGTGAGCAGAATGAACAACGCCGCAAGCTGATTCGTAGGCGTCAACGTCGGAAGCAGAATCGTCGTGATCATAATCGCAAGCAGAATGAGCAACGTCGTGAGCGCAATCCTTCGAACGTCTGCGCGGACTTCCAGGGACGGCTCGTCGACGCCCCTTGCCGAAGCGCGCGCGGCGCGCCCTGGGGAGGGGCGCCCGGCGCCGACCCGAGAGCTCCGCTCGGACCTCCCACGAAGCTGGCGATCGTCGCACGATGCCAAAACACCGGACAGGAGAACGTTTGCCGTGCTCACGTCATGTGCCGTTCTGTGAGATCTTTCGTCCCCCGCCCGTGGGCTAGCAACTCTAGGCTCGAAGAAGGAAGCACTGCATAAACATACGCTACATCATTTTGAACAGGAGAAAAGCGCCCATAAGCTTAGGTCCTGTTTCTCAAACGCCATAGCCATGAACTTGTGGCGCTCCGCGCGGATTTCTTGGATTCGCGTTGGGCCCCCGCAGCGGCGCCTCTGGCGCCGCGGACCTCCAACAGTTTTTGCTCATGCCGTGTTGTTGATGTTCTATATTTGCGACATCTTTCGTCCCCTACCCGTAGGCGACATCTCTCGCTGATGCTCTGGCCTTTATATTCGGGCTACCACTCATTCTGAATCGTGCTCCCTCTGCCGCGATATCCTCATTTCCGCGCTTCCGCTCATCCCGAATCGTGTTCCCATTGCGGCGCTGGCGTCATTATTTCTAGTGCCATGCCACGGTAGGGTGTTCGGTCCTTCCAAATAAGCCCCAAAATCTAGACAATGCCCCCCCGAAAAAAACATCGGACGTGATTACACATTCAGATCGATTCGTTGATTTGTTCGGCCGCAGAAGCCCCCCCCCCACTTCGGGGCGTCGCCACGCCATGGTATGTCAGGCTACGCGTCCTCATGTCCGCGTTTCCGCGTTTGGGCTGTTTTTCAAAATGTTGCTATCGCTGAAGCGCTGCCCTCGTTTTCGCGCTACCGCTCGCTCCGAATCGTGCTCCCGCTGCAGCGTTGGCCTCATGTCCGCGCTTCCGCTCGTCCCAAATCGTGTTCCCGCTGCGGCGCTGGCGTCATTCTTTCTAGTGTCATGCCACGGTAGGGTTTTCGGTCCTTCAAATAAGCCCCCAAATCTAGAAAATGGTACCTGAAAAAACCATCGGACGTGATCACACATTCGGTGCCGATTCGTTGATTTGTTGGGACGCAGAAGCCTTCTACTTCGGGGCGTCGCCACCATGCTATGCCATGTAATGCGATGCCATGTTGCGACATCCGATTGTGCGAATAGAAAGGGGATCCACGCCATGGTAAGGGATGGGAGGAAGGGGTAGGACGTCAGATATGACGCGAGCATACATAGCTTGGCGCTTTAACCCCTCCGCCCCCCCTTCCCAGGTCCAGGGGAGGGTGGAGGGGGAGGGGTCAAGACTCCTTCACCGCCCGCAAGCCGTCTCGCTCACTCCCACCCGCCCTCCCAACACACACGTAGCACCCGAGCCTGGCCCGAGCCGCAGCATATTCAGAGTCGTCTTTGAATGGGCAGCTACTGGGGGCGAATCCGCCGCCGCCGCCTCCGCCGCCGCTGCCGCCGCTGCCGCCGCCCGCCGCTGCCGCTGCCGCGCCGCCGCCGCCGCCGCTGTCCGCCGCCGCCGCCGCCGCCGCCGCGCCGCCCGCCGCCGTCGTCCGCCGCCGCCGCCGCCGCGCCGCCCGCCGCCGCCGCCACCGTCGCTTCCGCTGCCAAATCGCCGCTGCCGCCACCGCTGCCGCCGCCGCCGCCGCCACCGCCGCCGCCGCCACCGCCGCAGCCGCCACAGCCGCTGCCCCCGCCGCAGCCGCAGCAGCCGCCGCCGCCGCCAAGTGTACTCTGTATTGTTTTTTGACAGGGATGGTGGGGGCAGGCCGCATCGGGTTCGCTGCGCATGCTCCGAATTTGGAGGCAGAGTGTGTTTTGCATTGTCTTTATAAGGGATGGTGGAGGGGGCCGCATTGTCTCTGGTTGGCTCCCCTTCGCCTTGGGGAGGGGGTGTACATCAATAGGGAACAGTGATCAAGACATTCTCCCAGATAGCAAGCCGCTTCGCTCACTCCCACCCGCCCTCCCATCACATAACACCCGAGCATCACCATGTTCAGCGGTCGTCTTTGGACGGGCAGCTACTGGGAACTGAAACCGGCCCCTTGTGCGCAACGTCGGGGGGAGGTGCGCCACGCGTGCCAGGCGCTCCACGCGCGCCTGGCAACCCTCGGGCCCGAGCGTGCCAGGCACGCCTGGTGCGCCAGACTCACCATGTGCGCCAGGTGCGCCGCATACTGCAGCCGGGCCAGGTGCGCCACGTTCGGGGGACGTACAGAGTGTGTCAGGTGCATTTGCGCACGTGACAGCACACATCGGGAAACACGTCGGCCCTCACCATCTTCGTCGAAAACCAAATCTCTTCATTGTGTCCGGTGGGCCTGCGCACAGCAGGCCATACGCCACCACCCCCGCCGTCCCTGTCAAAAAACACTTGACAGTGATCGCGAGGTGGCCGCGCATGATCCAGATGGAGCCGTGAGATGCACCTGGTATTGTTTTTATGACAGGGAGGGGTGTCCTTGCGCACAGCAGGCAATATGCTGACACCCCCGCCGAACCTGTCAAAAAACAATGCAAAGTGCTCGCGGCTCTCACGAACATGACTCAAGACTTTGCCCCAAAGTGCACGTAGCCATTTTGGGTCGAGCCATTTAGCTCAAGGATTGTTACAAGGGGCTTCCGAGCCCTCCCGGTGTTCAGAGGCCTCGCCAGACATTAGTTGCAATGCCAGCCAACCACGTAAAAGTTCGCGTGGACCGTCTGACTGTCGTTGATCTTGCCTTCGCAATCCTTCCCGTCGTGCTGAATCTAATGTATTTTGTAGGGAGCGTATTCTTTCTTCCAGGCATTCCCGAACATCTCTATAAGACCGGGGTGTGGCTCTACATCATCGCGAGCGTCGTGCTTAGCATTCTGTCTTTCAAGGCAGTTTGTGACGTGCGTGACAATGCTGATGTTGATAAGCTTGCCAAAGATGATGCTTCTTGACAGCTGTTTTGCGAGACGATTATGTACGCAATAGCAGGCAGTTCTCTTCGCAGTTGGAACTTTCCTGTTCGTGCCTGCCTATGCAGACGAGGCGATGGCCTGGGATTGGGCCACCGCCGCGGCCTGGATGTTCATCATCGGAAGCTTCTGCTTTGTCGCAGCCGGCCTCTACAACGCTTTGAATATCCACCATGATCGTTCCAACGATGGGAAGTACTTTTACGAGTTGACCCCATACAACGTGTCCGTCGCAACGCTCTTCTGTGGAATATTTGGGACTGTGCTTTTTGTGGTTGGATCGTTCTACTTCCGGCCTGGAGGTGTGATACAATGCGACGATGGTAAGATTGGCCGTTGGTGTCATTGCTCTACGTTCACAGGGGCGTGGTGCTTCATCATTGGCAGCATCCTTTTTGTGGCGCAGTCCGTTCTTGGCCTCTTGAGTGCCGTAATCACCCACAGGAGCTTGAATATTGCTTTTGATGAAAGTTCAGCGGACGAGGATGCAGACTCGACTGTAACTTGTGATCGCGAGTGACCAGCCCAGCTCTGCAGTCAGCTTGTGTCCAGAGGTGCGCCAGATCTGAGGCGCTCCAATGTGTGGCTGGGCCAGACGGACCAGCCAGACTAGCTGTCCAGGCCAACGATATGGACCGGCTATCATTTTTGACATGGGCGTCTCATTTTTGGTTTGGCGATTGCAAACGGAGACGAGAAGTCTTTGAGTTTTCGTTGGCTGCTTCTCTAAATGAAACACTTTCAGTGTTAAGCGTGCCGGTTATCAAACCCATTTGCAGTTGCGAGTTGCAGAGTGCATGCGACGTGTTCCCAAACGATGGGCACATCCTAATTCATTTATACGTGCAAGAATTTGGAGGCAGAGTGTGTTTTGTGTTGCTTGTGAAGGGGATGCTTCGGGGGTGGGCATAGGGTCGGCGTTGCGCCTGGTTGGCTGCTCGTCGCATGGGGGAGGAGGGGGTGCATGCGAATATGGAACAGTGATAAGCTGTTCCCACGAGCAGGGGAAGGAGGTTTAGCAGCGAGGACAAACTCAGTTTATTTATAGGCTGCCGCCTCTCCCGCCGACCCCAATTCAGCGACGTATGTTTGATTCGTTGTTTTTTCGGGGTGCTTCTCCGAGCACGGCAGGAAGGCCTGAGCGTCGCCCCCCTGGAATCTTAAGCCTTTGTTGCAACTCCGACTCCTCTCTATCTACAGAAGCAAGATTATCGAATCATCATGGGCCTGACGGATCGCATCGCAGTTCTGAGCTCCCATGAGTTAGCCATTTGGGGGTATTCAAATTTTTTTTTTTTGTTGGGACCGTGGGGGTTGGCTGTGATTCGGGCTAGCAGTCGGTAGAGTGGCCCAGCCGGCCCGCTCAGTTTTTGCAGAACCGATGAGGGTGGGTCGCGCATGGGTGTTTGACATGTGGTTTGAAGGCGAAATCCTGCAACCTCCGCGATTCACGACCGTCCCTCGACATAATCACCCTGGAAGATGCCGGGAACAGCGCGCAAGCTTTGCAGCGAGTACGGCTTGCGAGACGGAAGCACAACCAATACACGTCTTTTTGGCACGATAGGGTTCTTTTACCCGTCCGTCACTCCACAACAGGTTGTACATGCCTCGAACCATACCTAATTAACCACCCCTCCAGGTGATCAAGAGATAGGTGGTTGAGGAGCTTGCATTTCGATTGCAATCGGATCTTCATGCCGATCAGCATTTCGGTCGCGGACTGTATTCCGACACATTTCATTGCATGTCGATTGCATTGTTATTTACATTTCGATGTGCATTTCTTTATTACGTTCAATGCTAGTTGCCTGAACTTGAAAGTTTGTTCGATGCGCCTTTCGAGTTGAGTTTCGATCGCCATTCCGATTGTCTTGTCGATTATGGTGTTGATTTCATGTTGCATTTGCAGTTCGATTGGTATCGCAATGAGCATGTCGATGATCATTCCGATGTTGATGTTGATCTGCTTTTGGACGTCCATGTTGATCCGAATTTTGATGTGCAATATGAGCCTTTCATACAAAGGGGAACCAGTTCCAGGCCTCCCCGGACCAGAGCCTCGATCACGGATGTGTGCCCCGAGGGCCCGGTCCGCAGTTGGGAGGGCAAGAGTCGCCTCCGAGAGGATTCCGGCAGCCGTCCGGGCAGGCCGAGACGGCCCCAAGTCAGTCCCAACAGGGCCTTGAAGGGCTTCATGCGGCCTAAGATGCCTCTCAAGCGGCCCAAGATGCGTCCACGACGCTTCAAGATCGCTCCAAGAGAGGTCGTCAAGATCGCGCTTGGACTGCCACAGAGGCAGGGAGGGGCAAGGACTTCACGCGCCGTAGGCCCCAAGGGGATCGGTAGATTCAGTGCCACGTCCTCCCCTGGCGAATTGTACGCGCATTACAGAGCGCGGCACCTCGAGTTGTAGCTGTCTGGGCCTCCTGACTGGGGTCGGAGTAGATGGGCTCGGGCTCGGAGGATCGCGCCGCATCGCCGATGCATCGACGATGCGGCTCGATGCAGAGCCCGATTTTCTCCACGACGACGTCGGCGATGCATCGCCAGTGCATCCCCGATGCATCGCCGATGCATCGCCGATGTTTCGGCGATGCGGCGCGATCCTCCGCCCCCATCTACTCCGACCCCATCCAGGAGGCCCCTAAGCTGTCTGGCCTCCCGGCCCTCGCCAGCTTGCCACGCAAGTGCAGGACAAACTCTTCTGCGTGGCCATTGCCCTGCTAACCCCGACCTCCGGAAATCATTCAATCCCCCCACCTTTCCCACCCGAGAGTGGGCTATCCCGGGCCAATACAGGTTTGGTCAGGGAACACAGGCGGCAAGGTCGAATTTGAGTATCGCGGGGGCAAGTTGCGAACCGAAGTTGTTTTCATCTTCTGTTGAGTAGCAAGGATTCCTAAGGATTCCTATTGATTCATTCAGGAATCCGATGGATGCACTATGGGAACCCGATGGTTTCTTATGTACGCCCGAAGGAATCCCATGTGTGAGATTCGAGTCTAGAAGCCCGTTCGTTGGTAATGATGGCTGTCGCACTAAACTCCCTGAGCATGAAAGTCATGAGTGAGGGGTCCGTACCATTTTGGCTCAAGACCCGCCTCACCTACTCATTCCTCATCACTTCCCAAACATAGTACCCTCACCATCCCTACCCATACTTTCTAACCTGTTGTGCTGCGGCCGCTCTGTTCAGAGCGGCACTGTCAGGACTGTGTGGCGCGTCGGCCGTTGGGACGCAGAATCTAGACATCGTCATCTTCTACGCTGTCGTCCGTGAGGCGACATGTGGATGTCTTCAAAAACCAAATAAATATCTGACGGAGGCTTTCGGCAATCTTATGGTTCACGAGGAGTATTGCGCAATGTTTTCGGAGTCTTATTGGTTTCGTGAGAATTTATACGTCTTGCCTTAGGAAATCCATCGCGTTCCTGAAGAAATATATAGGAATGTTTTAAACTTCCATTTGTTACCATAAGAAAACTACATGCGTCCTTTGAAAAGTCCATCGGGATCCTTTGTGGACAGCCGCATGACTCTTGAGGAAACCCAGAGGATCCCTAAGGATATCTATGGGAATCCTTTTGGATATCCATAAGATGCTTGCGGACATCCATCGGATCCCAAAGGGAGTCGAAACGATTCAGGCGGAAACCTATGGGATTCCGCAGGCAATCCATCGGATTCTTTAGGAGGCCAGTCGGACCCCTGGGGAATCCACAGGAAACCCTAGGACAACCATCGGAATCCTTGGAAAATGGATAGGGTTCTTTGGAGATGTGGGGCATTCCTTTGGACATTTATAGGTATCCAGACAACGTCCAGACGATTCGTTCGGACATCCATCTCAACCCTTTGGGAGTCAATTGGGTTCCCGGAGAAATCCATAAGAGCCTTTTGGGGATCTATGCGATTCCGTCGGGAGCCCGTCGGATTCCTTAGGACACCTTTGCGATTCCTTGGGGAAGCCATAGGATTCCTTAGGACATCCATAGGACGCATCCAATGGGACCCTGCAGAAAATCATGGGATGCCTAATGCAATCCACGGGCTGCTGACGAAATGTATAACATCCCTTCGGACATCCATAGGGTACGTTCGGACAGCATTCGGATTCTTCCGGAAACCCATCGGTTCCTTTTTGTAGGAAACCCATCGGAATCTAGACGAACCCAGTCGGATTCCTGAAGACATCTTGGGAGATCCGAAGAAATTGCGTCGGACATTCTTCATATTTAAATCGGATTTGTTTTGGAAATGTATAGGAGTCTTCAGAGAATCCATGGGGGCCTTCGGAAATCCATTGGGCCCTTTAGGAAACCTTTCGGAATTCGAAGGACATCCGTAGGATTGTTTGGGGAACGCATATGCTGCCTGAGGAATTCCATATGAGATCTTAGGCCATCCTTACAATTCCTGAGTGAACCCATGGTATGCTGTGGGGAATACGCAGGAATCTGCAGAACAAAAGTAATCGTTATATGTATATATGTATACATATATGGGAGATCCCGGCCCCCGCGCCCCGGGCCGGAACCTCCCTTGTATATGCGTGGGTCCCTCCCCTGGCGGCGTCCCCAGGGGCTCCGAGACGGCCCCAAGAAGGCCGAGGAGGCCCCCAAGTGGTCCCAGAGGGCCCCGAGACGCCGAAAGATCGTTCCAAGACGCCCACGATGATCCCAAGACGGCTTCAGTGGCCTCCAAAACGCGGCTAGCGGTCTCCAAGAGGCCTTCCCAAGAGGGTCCCAAGAGGCAAAAGAGGCCCAACAATGTCAATACACAGCCCAAGAGCCTTCCAATATGTATGTATATCTATCTATATCAATATGGGTGTGCAGGTTTATGTGCGTATGTATGTATGTATGCATGCATGCATGTATGCATGTATGTATATGTGTATGTATGCATGTATGTATGTATGTGTGTATGTATGTATGTACGTGTGTATGTATGTATGCATGCCTGCATGCATGCATGCATGTATGTATGTATGTACGTACGTACGTACGTACGTATGTCGTATGTCGTATGTCTGTCTGTCTGTCTGTCTGTCTGTATGTATGTATGTGTGTATGTATGTATGTATGCATGCATGTATGTATGTATGAATGAATGTATGTATATGTATAGGTATGTATGCGTGTGTGTATGTATGTATGTATGTATGTATGTATGTATGTATGTAAGTGTATGTATGTGTGGGTGTATGTATGTGTGTATGTATGTATGTATGTATGTATGTATGTATGTATGTATGTATGTGTGTGTGCATGCATGTATGTATGTATGCATGTGTGTAAGTGTGTATGCATGAATGCATGCATGCATGCATGCATGCATGCATGTATGTATGTATGTATGCATAGATGTATGTATACATGTATGTATGTATGTATATATTTATGCATGCATGCATGTATGTATGCATGTATGCATGCATGCATGCATGCATGTATGTGTATGTATGTATGTATGTATGTGTATGTATGTATGTATGTATGTATGTATGTATGTGTATGTATGTATGTATGTATGTATGTATCTCTCTCTCTCTATATATATATGTATAGGGGAGGGGGTCCCGGCCCCCCGAAGTGCACTGATTTGTCTTCTGGCCGTTTCGGGCCCGGCGGGGGGCGGCAAACAACGTCAAAGGGGGCGAGAGACGTCCACGAGGGCGCATTGATGGCCCAAGAGCGCTCCAAGAGAGCCCAAGACCGCACAAGAGCGTTCCAAAATTGGTCCAACGTGGCTTTGAAGACAGCCTAAGAGGGCTTCAAGATGGCCACGATGCCCTCAAGGGTTCCCACGAGGCACTCGGGAGGCGAACCAAGTAGGCTTCCTCAATGGTTTTTGACGGTTGTTCGTGTTCTCGTTGTTTCGTGCCTCCCACGGTCCAAGACA